ATGGCGTGTTACAGAATTACAACAATTGCAAGAATGGTAACCGTAGCAACTGCGAAAGAAGAAAAGTCCCAATGTCGCAACAGTAAGAGAGATTCTCGGAAGGCTATAGCTAATAATTTGCACGTAAATAGAGGTGAAAGTAGGCCGGTATGGAAATTCTTGCAGTCCCATGGCTTCTGAAGTACTGACACACAACATGTGTCTCAGCTGCTGCTCCGAGAATTTTGTAACACATAGGGGAATATTGAGATGCACGTCAAGTGAAGAAACTGCACGCTAATTTGGAGGGTGCGCCGAGTAAGATGTGCGTCAACAAATTCATATTCAGACAAGAAGAATATTTCTCTTGTCATCAGTTGAACTTAACTGTAAAAACGAAGCATAGTTCATTCTTGTTTCGTGCAACGTACACAATAAATAAATAAATAAATATGCTCAAGCTTTGGTCTCTGAAATATTTTAAGTAATTTTAAATACAAATTCATTTATTTAAAAACAATTATAATGAACGGATTTTAAAGCGTATCAAATTATAAACAAAATTCTTCACATGTAAGTAGCTCGTATACAGACATAAAATCGAAATTGCATTTCCTTATAGTAGAATTAAATTGAAGTAATGAAAACTGTAAGGAAACCCGTAACATTTACTGGCTTAAAATTAATTTCCAACTTTCCGTGTCTCATATTTAAAATATTCACCAGGAATTAAAATTGAATATCTTCATATGTAGCCCAATTTTTTTTAAAGTTCATCACCGAACTTTAAAAGCTTAGGTTCTTCTTCGGAAGTTTCCGAATCTCGGTGACTGCATAAGTTATACTTGTTAGAGTTGCTCGTGATTTACCTCAGTACTTCCTGACAAACTGTACGATTGTGCCTTGTTTAGGCTACGTGTGCTGCCTTCCAAATGCTTCCCACTTCTCCATCCTACCTCTCTTATGCTACACAACTTAGATACCGACACGTCATTAAGTAACGCACAACCGTGAATTCCATCAGCTCTTTCGCAAATCATTTTGTGGCCTTCTGAAAGTGGGTATAAGGGGTGAGAACTGGCCACTAGGTTCTGCAGACGTAAAAAACATGAAAAAATAGAAAATTAGAAAGGAAAGACAGCGTTACCGGAGACTAGAAATGAGCTTGTAGTAAATGAAGCGAACGCTGTACCGGATAGACCCCCCCCCCCGCCCTCTGGGTCTCAAGGAAAGGCAACTCGGGTGTCAGCAATGTCTTTCACCAGCCAGAGCATTACTGCACGCAGTTCTAACGATGCTTTCAGCGGCGCAAACTGTAGCGCCGACTGGCAAGGTGATTCCGGAAACAGTATGGAGGGAAACCGTAAGAGCCTTCGGTCACGATTGCAAGTCCTCGGGCACTGGGCAAGAAGGAAACTATTGCAAGGTGCACTCTGGCTTCTGGTTACTTAAGTCAGAGCTAAGAAACTAGCATCCAGTAAGCACGCTCACAATGCCATCAGTTTTGTGTACATAGAGCCCCTTCCATGCAGCAGAAGATAATCCTCGACCCTTCAAAGCTCAGTGATTACAACTCCTAAATAAGCAACCTGCTTTAACTTACTAAGCTCTGCATTCTGCCCGCATATTGCATTTGGGTGTTTCATACGGTAGAGGTAAAAGGTAAAGTTATCCCTAAGCAATACGCCATGAAGACGTACGGGGGATAACTGTTGCTTATTGCGATGGAGATCCAATGTATTTTATTTGAGGTAGGAACTGGATTTTAAGATTTGTCAGACGAACATCGTGACTGAATGACTAAGTCGATGGGTAGTTTCTACTCTGTGAAACTGATCCAGCTTACCGTTTCAAGCCTGAAATTCAACTGAATAATATTTACAAATATTTGTCTGACTCCTTCGTCTGTCTGAAGACAGGAAACGGAAGGAAACTCCACAGAACTGGTTCCTTGTCGACAGTTCGACTATGACTTGGTTAGTCGGCCTGGAGGTGAATGGGCAAGGAATTGTCACGTGCTTGACTCACAATCCATAAGCACGGGCCACTGCAAAGAAGTGATCCTGAAACTTACTTCCTGGCCACGTGGAAAGTTATTTGAGAAGTTAAACTGTTCATTAGACTTGACTGTTTAAGTAATAGCTTTAATTATGTTTGACTACAGTTCTGAGAACGGAAGGTCAGCAAAGCAGAGTATTCTTAGATGTCTGTGTCCAGCCGTAAGCAGAAACTGGTCGCTCATTTCTCAACGCTCGCAAAGTGCCAAACCAGTGCTTAAGGCGCTGGGATAACTCACTGAGCTGCCCGGTATCTACGCTCCACACACTGACATGCAGACACGCGCAGAACGGCTGAAGGGATCGCAAGAAGCCAAGGACACAGAGTAGCGCTTGCGCAATACTGACGTTGCGAACACAGAGTTTAAACCTGAGAACCTTAAGACTCTCACGTGCTGGAGTTATTAGAGAGCGGTTTCGTATTTATAATCGGATTTATTTGACTGTTGTACAACTCGTGACTACACTTTACAAATCACTATCACACACAGACTAGTGGTCCTCAGTCACGGTCTTCACGCCGCTGCTTGGTAGCGGCTTCTAACGGTGGACTTTCCTCTACTCCCGGGCTCACGTCTGTTGGCCATCTCACACCAACCTCCTCCTCCTCCTCTGAATGCCGAGGTCACGGAACTTCTCGTCAGTAACCCGATGGAACGTTCCCACAGAGACTGGCCTGTGGCAGGTACAGGGCAGTGAATGTCAGTCTGAGATGCACGGCAGGGCGCGCGCTGCAACCCGCCAAGTAAGGTGCACGCTCGTATAGTTCAGTCAATATATTGCAGGCTTCCCCAGAGTGTAGCTCAAGCGACACAGTGTTATGCTACCTGCGGAGGAGTTTGAAATTAGAAAATGTCTTTTAACCTTTTCCCAGGCAATGGCGCAGTAAGCTCAGAAGGAATTCTACACGTTTTCTGGCAAATCATGGAAAGGAAACTGCCCCCCCCTTCCAAATCACCAAGTAACCATACCACAAATCCTTACTGATAGCGGCAGTGCTTTGCTGGGACTTAAATGGCTTCGCTGACGATTGCGGAAGTGTTGTAGTGCACGACCTGTAAATGTGAAGGCGCCAGCAGTCTCTCCTTCCTGATGTTTCACATTTCGCATTCCTGGTCTTACAGTTTGTGTATGTTACTCAGGATGCAGGCGGTACGTTACTCCGAAACATGGTTAAATTTCTACCAGACTACACGGCATCACATCCTATCTTCATAGCCGCCCCCGTGAGAACCTCACATCTCACAGAGCATAGAGTGACTGCTACAGTCGAAAATCTCTTGGCTTTTATTCCGGATAATGTGGGCTCGAACCTGTCCTGATGCCGGCTATCGTAACTGAGGTATTTCGTGGTTTTCCCCATCCATCCAGGCACATTGCAGGATAGTGCCTCCGTTAGATCCTCCATGTCCTTCCAAATTCCTTTCATATTGGTCACCCCTGAAGCAAAACCCGCGCACAGGCGGATAACCGAACCTCTCCTGGGCTGTTTAAGGACTCTCTCAGTGCCTGGTTGTTGCTGTGTCGAATGCTGAAAGAGGAACTGAAAAATATTTGAAAGACAGCGGTTTGTGGTCTAATCGAGACAATCTCCCGACATTTGCATGGGGGGACTGAGGAATACCGCGAAAACTTCAGTAAAGATGGCCAGTGTTCGGTCCGAGACTCGAATCGAATACCCCTAGAGAGATACTGCAAAGGTAACCTGCTCGTTGCAATACTTTGCAATGGAAATGAGTGAGTGGATATTTTGACTACTCACGTGGCACTGCTTTGTTTCCTAGTTCGCCGTACGTGCTGTAAGCAAGGCACAGGTAAACAGGCTGTTAAAATAAGCAAGGAGTGTTCACCAAAATGCGTATGTTTCGTGGTGCGCCTGCTGTATTAGAAAGTAGGCAACTACTTGACTGAAACGAGGGAGCGTCCGTTCAGGCATGTGACGCAAAACATGGCAGTCCTGTTTGAGAGCAATGTCGTGAGGACTAACAGCTGACGTGCCAGACGTTGCGCAGCAGTGGTTTGCGCGTATAACAAACCAAAACTTACGGTGAAACCCTTTTTAGAATTGATCACTGCAGAAACATAGATACAGAGACATTGCATACAGCCTTCAGTGAGTTACCCTGTGCTGCTTGGCCGCGCCATAGCTCAAGCCGTTAGTCGCTGGCTTCCCACCGCGGCGGACCGGGTTCGATCCCGGTTCTGGTCAAGTGGGATTTGTGGTGGACAAAGTGGCGCTGGGGCAGGTTTTCTCCGCGTACTTCGGTTTCCCCTTGCCAATCTTCATTCCAGCAGTTGCTCCACAATCACCCTCACCTAGCATCTGGGGCTGGTACAATAGGCCAGAAGTGGCCGCAGTACAACGGACTTAGTCCCACCCCACTAGCAATAAAAACAATTACGTCAGGAGAGAAGCGGGAGGCAAAAGGTGCCTGGTTCTGAGTCTCTTGGGGACCGTTGAAAGAAATGAGCCGCTTTTGTTACCAAAAAGTGGAATCCTAGTTCTCCTCGGAGGGTTGGGCACCCCTGAAAGGATAGAAGAGGGATGATTTTCCTTCCTTTTACTCAGAGCCGTTATGAAGCCATCCGCCACGTGGTTGCCGCCGAAAGCTGTGTCCCGACGCAAGGCCTGGTCCATGAGGCGCCCCACCAGAGAGACAGCCGTAGTTGGACAGCCGCCATTACTACCCGTAACATGTGACCTTACTTAGGTCGCGGGTGCCCTCACCTAATTACGTGATTACAGTACATTAAAAGAAAATGAATTTTGCACTGTTTACAAGTTTTGAAGAAGATCAGTTCATTAATAAGTTGTTATTTGTATATTTTCTCTGCTATGTATCAGGTTTGGTTGTCTAAGTACGGCATTAAGAGCGCAAGGTGTCTGCCTAGGTAGAGGCCTGCCTCGAACTGCTGTCTCTCTGTCGCGGTAAGGGTTTCTAACGCAGATATTCTTCTGTGCAGGGCGACTGGCTGTCATCGTGGTCGGGCTCTTCACCTTGGCGATGGGCATCATACTGTCCTCCATACCGTGGCTTGACTACATCATACTGAAGGTGAGTAGCAGCTGAACTACGGCTGAAAACTGGAAACAGACGAAAATAACATAAACTGCACATACGAGATTTCTTAGAGCACTGCAAGGAGCAGTTTTACGGGACGGTACAAGAGGTGTGCTGCCAACTGTCGCTGCATTGTAAGTAGAGTAGTAAAAGTAGCGAGTTAAATTGGGAACAACATGGAGGACAGTAACTGCCGAAATTAGCGTACTTATCTCGAAGGATACTATGGCGTGGGAAGACCTAGAAATAGAAGGAATGATCATTTTGTAACTTGTGAACATGTCAGTGTGTTTATAGCACAGGAGGAGGAGGGGTATACCTTGTTCTGCTCTCACACACGCAGAGAGTTTCAACGCAACTTTTCCTTAACTTCCTTCAAATTGCTCTTCGTTAAACAAAGTTGTAGTTAGGTAGCGACATCTGTCACGTGTAACGGTGGTCTAATCGGCCTCCGTAGTCTAGAGGTAACGTTCCCACCTCATGACTCGTAGTACGCGGGTTCAAATACCCGGCGGAGGTCGTCGAATTTTTAAGGGCGGAAAAATTCAGGGAACAAGTCCTCCGGGAGGGACCTTAAGCTGNTATAAGTTACACCATTCACATAAATTCTTTGCTCACAGAATTTATTACTTTATTCATTAAGCAGCATTTACAGCGAGAGGCCATGATGCAACTTTTCTTTATATGGAGGGGTAGTTTGGACGATGTATGTATGCAGTGGTGAGAGAGAGAGAGTGTTGGAAAATAACAAAATCGAAAACAAATAAATATGTAAGATAGCAAGGAAAGAAGATATGAAAGAATTAAAGTTTTGGGGTTTTCGGACTTTATCCATCGTCCTGGTTTTAAGGTAA